GTCCTCCATCATCTTCCCCTTCCCCCGACAAACCTAGTTTAAAGTTTTGCTGCTTATACAACTGCAAGCAGTGCGGCACAATATATGTCAGCTCCTATGCAGAGCAGACTCAGTTGATCCAGTCTGCTGTTAGTTTCTGTTAGTTTCCCTTCTGTCTGAAAGCAGCGGATCTCCAATGCATCTGAGAACTAGAAGGTATGTGTATAAATGCCCTAAAGTACTAAATAATTAGTCTGCCCTAATCCACAATACTGAAAGCGCACATTTTTTAAGTGACACTTAATGTTCAGTAGCCTATTTTACTATGCATTAGTGTAATTTCATGTTTTTTATGTGACACGTTAATGCACAGTAAAATAGGTTACTGCACATTTTAGCATATGTGTAGACACACCCACAGTGCTCTATTCATTGAATTGCATACCACACTACTCATACAGTAGCCACCTAAATTCTATGTAGCATCAATAGCAGGCAGCAGTTTGGGGTGGAATATGATTTAGCAATTCCCAGTACCAAATATAGCTGTGTTACTTCCTTCAGCGTGGAGAAGTTAAACATAATTCTTCTCACATGTGTGGTTTATGCTGCTGACCAATATTGTAAGCAGTACTTCTGCAAAAATTATGGGAGAAATTATGCAGCAGTTTAGATATTTATGTCTAAATATATTGCTTACATCTTTTATTTTTGTGCAAATCAAATAAAATGAAAATACCATCTACTATTGATTGTGTATGGTATTATGAGAAAATTAATTAATACAAGCTTGACTACAGTTATGTTGACTTTGGTTGTTGCAGTACCCAATAGTGTAATATTCTTTTAAGTAATATGAGAATCTGCTGGTATTGAATTATTTGTTATTGGCAGAAAGATTATGAGACCCACAATCTCTTTATAGATTCTCTGGAGATATTAAAGTGTATAGAAAACTTCACCTTAAATATTTCATGTAATAGCGGTAGTAGTTGTCATAAAGTGGCTTGAGAAATTGTTTTGTTCCCTAATAGCTAACGGCTGTTTTATAATACAATATATGTTATATTTCTTTATTTCTAAAGTTTTGGTTTTTTTTCTTGTTAAAGAGTTTCTAATTCTTGAAATCAGTGTTTATAAACACTATCCCTATCGTTAGTTTTCTTATTGTGAATTAAAAGGGTACATCCTTTGTTCACATTTGACACTGAATCGATGAAGCCATAAATTGTAGAGTATTTCTTTTCCCAGAATCTGTTTAACAAAGCTGGTTGCACTGAATTATAGTGATATTTTATTTTAAAATATCCTTAAAATCACTGACATGGCTAGAGGAGTTGGTGTATTGGAACCAGGGAGCAAAAAAGTCACTAGTAAGTGATAAGTGATACAATCTTATACACTGCAAAATATTTTCGCTTTTTGGAACATATTTACTGCAGATAAGAGACCATCTTTATCTTGAGGACCATTCCCATAGCTCTGAGCAGAAAAGAATGAGGACAGAAATCTCTGACCTGACAAAAAAGCTTCATCAGAAGGAGATCACTATAGCAACTATCTCACAGAAAGCTACTCTTCTGGAAAGACAGTTAAAAATGGAGTTAGAGATAAAAAGAAAATTGTTAAGAGCACAACAGGTATGCAAACAGGCAAAAAAAAACAGCTCTGGTCATTCTGCTGCTTATTATCGATGATGATTTACATTATCTGCTAATAACAGTACTACATCTTGTGCATTAGTTTTCATCAGCTATACTTTATATTTAAACCCTGAGGAAAAAAAACAAAAAATAGCCAAAATTCTACTGGAACAATAAAAGATCAGTAAATGTCAGTTGTACAACATGCAATCTTAACATATAGTCCATTTTGATAATTATTACTGGAGTTAACATTCCAGCCCATGGAAGATTTTGAAAAATTCTGGCCCAACAAAATTATAACTATATTGGGTGCATCTACATGAGACCCTTTACTGCACACTAGAGCAAATTACTGCACAATAAGCATCACCACCTACACATGCAGACCCATACTGCACAGTAATTTGCTTTACTCCATAGTTAATTTGCTACCTGCATTGGCGGGTACCAAATTAATTGCCAAGTAGTTACTGTGCAATAAGGTATGTGTGGATGGCTGGCAGGCAGCAAATTTGCTCCAATTAGCCAGGCAGCAGGGGGTGGGAAATTGCTCCCTGCCCCTGAGAGCTGCCTGCTTCTGGGACAGGTTTCACAGAGCTGGGGATGAGAGTTCCCTGCCCAGTGTGGACCTGGCTGTGACCTGCCCCAGATGGGCACATTGCCAGCCAGCCCTGGGCAGCGCAGGGAAGTCTGCACATACAGCATGGAGCTGGCTGGGAACTGTGTGAAACAGGACAGTTCCCAGCCAGCTCTGGGCTGCACATACAGACTGGGACAGTTCCCAGCCAGCCCTAGGTTGCTCAGGAAAGTCTGCATATACAGCCTGGGAACTGCCCCAGTCTAGGGCAGGTCCCAGTCCAGCAGCTCTTTCCCAGCTCCATGTCCTGATGGGGTGATCAAGGCACAAGGCTTGGAAAGAGCTGTGGGGGAGGAACAGGTCCCAGCCCTCTGCCCTGATCCACTGGTAGGGCAGCTAGCATTGAGCCCCTAGCCGGGTGGGGAATCCCTACCAAGCTGGGGGCTCACTGCTTGCTGCCCCACTAGTGGAACAGGACAGGGGGCTGGG